CTTTCTCGATCGCGTAATTACAGCGGCCAAGTCGAAGTTTTCCTTATGGGCCAGGTCAAAGTGGCTCTACCACTTCCACTGCCACATCCACATCCACTGGCAGGGCGACATCGGGAATCGAATGCCGAGCGGTGCTCATTAGACCAAAGCATTTGCGGGGCGCATAGAGGGTGCATAGACATCTGTAGGTTGCACGTAGCACGAGCTATGTCCTTATGTTTAGCGCATTTCGTTGTAATAATTTGAAATTTTGATCAGGTGTTTCTTTTTATGCATTTTGGCTTTCTTTCCGCCCGGCAAAGGGAAGGGGCGGGGTCAAGGGGGAAACTAGGAGCGTTGAGGTCGACGGACCGTGTAACGCAACTGCAACTGCAAGTGGCCGGCCGACCGACTGCCTTGTCTTAACTTGGCTCAAAGTGCTCAACAAACGGGCAGGAAACTCGGGGAAAAAGCGCGCAATTTCGGCTGGTTCTTGAGCTGGGCTATTTGGCATTTGAACCGTATCGTGGTGGGGTATTCACTGGAGTGTATGCCAAAAGCCTGATTTCGCAGGTGTGGAAGTGTTACTGGTCACCCGGCAACACTGCGATAAACAGGCGTAATACATGTTCTTGCAATTCTCTAAAGCAGCCTCTAAGTAATGACTTCCCGTGGGCCCAGATATATTCCCAGATATCTGTTTACTTTTAAACAACGCCCACACTACACCCAGTTCTCCAGCTCCATCTGCATCTGCATCGCCCACATCCACATCCGAAGATGTGGGCACTCCTAGTCGAGATTCGCTTGGCAAGAAATGCGTTGGAACAACCTGATCCCATCCAATCCGATCAGATCCGATCCTCCTGCGTCGGCACCGCTCTGAACTTATTGAGCAATTTTGTTTTTTGGGCGGCAGACGCTGCATAAATATAAATATTTCGTTTGCACGGGCAGACGATGAGTGCACTGATGAGTGCCAGATCAAAGCCAATTTCAGGGCCCACGTAAAGTCACGCAATATTGTGTGGAGGCAGGATGCCAGGATCGCTGTCAAGGAATGGGGAGCGTCGTCTTGGGCAGCCAGGCAAATTGTTCTGCAAAGTGCCCCTAAAGGGGAATCATGGAAAAGATATCTGCACAGCACCAAAGTATCTGCAAATGCCACATTTGCATTCAAAAAGTGATATTTTGACTAACTTTTGAGCCACTCAAGAAATGTTAAATGCTGTTCTCTCTACCCAACGAATTCATAAGAAAGAATGCTACTTAGCAAGTTGTTTTTTAGGGTATTTACACCACCGACTTTGTGCAGTTTTGGCGTCTTCTTAGTTTGTTCTTGCAATTGGACCAAGTTCCTTTGTTTTCTTCGCCAGAGCGAAAAGCGTGCAGCGCACGTACCTTTGAAATAATGATCCCGGCAAATTGAGTTCTGGCTGAATGCATTTTTTGGGAGTGCTCTCGAAAATTGCCGAAAAATGAGCGAAAACGTGCGATGCCATCGATGCAAATCACATGCAAATCGAAACTCTGAACCCAAAAACCAGGGCTCTGCGGTCTAAACTCGAACTGAAACCGATCCGCTTAACTTTCCCGACCGGAAAGTGCATGGAAAGCTGACCAGCGGACAATGGCTAGGAATCTGGAGGGGAAAGGGTTAAGCGATCTAGTTGGGTAAAACAAACAACTCGACGGCGGAAGACAATGGAAATCCGCTGCAGCTTTTCTAATGCAATTAAAATTTTCTTGTGTCGTAAGTCAAATGCGAATCGAAGCGTAACCCGTTGGTCAAGCCAAGTGTTTGCTTAGTTGCGGTCAGTTGCGTTTGCTCAAAGGATCGGCGATGGGATGGGATATTGTGTAACTGATCCGGCTCCTTTCTTCCACCAGGGGTCAGCGGAAATCGCGTTAGGGCATCGAAATGCTGAAATTAAGCGTTAAATGGAAAAACAAAAGCTTAATCTCAAGAACAAGGCCATGAAAAGACAAACTAAGCGGCGCACAAAGGAGCCATAATTGCGAAGGGGTCATTCCTGCACTCGCGGCCTTGCAGGGGTTGCAATGGGTTAAGTCGAATGGGTGGGTCTGCTCAAAAAACAGCAGCGGGATCGGGATCGGGATCGGTTATAAAATCGGATCTCGATGGGGTGGACACTTGAACCCGGTGCCGGATGGTCAACGGCGCATTTATGGCGATGGCAACCGGTTTCCAAGCTGCGGTTATTTGCAGAGTTTTGACGCTGGCCGCGTAATGAAGATAAACGATTTACAATAAAATTTTATTGTCTTTACACCACCGTACAGCGACTTACCGAGTCGCTGGTCAGGCATATTAATGATTGGCTGACCACCGAAGGAGGACGAAGTCGAAGACGATAGCCATGCGGGACAGGACCCTGCTGATAATGCATTCAAAAAGGTGTCTAATGCGCAAATCCTGTTTGGATAGGACACCCAGCATAACGTCTATAAGGAGTGGACGTTCCCAAGTGGCAGGGATACAATGTGATTTTCTTGAACGTTCGATTCGCCAGCAATCAGTTGATTAGGGAAATTGTTTGATTAAGTAACGCACAACTCACGAGCATCAGAAGAGGTCCTGCCTAGCACACTGTCGCCACTTTTCAAGGACATTTTTGCGTCTGTTCTAGGAACTATGATGCACAATACGTTCCTAATGATGTCCTTGCACTTTAATTCTATCCTAAACATAGGTCTTATAATCATAAAATTTAGCATATAGCTTTGAGTAATCCCTGCAATGCTTATAAAAGTACAAAAACATTGTCGTACCAACCTCAGAATATTTTAAGGTCACCTTTTTGTAGAAATATTCTGCGCATTTTTATGTAAAATCCCATGCATACATTTTCCATGGGCATGTAAAATAGTTGTCGTATTCGCTGGTACTGTAGAGTATCGCTAGATGACGCTTTTGTAACCTGCGTAAAATATATATTTGAAATGTATATTTTAATTTATAACTTTTGAGTTGGCTTATGGTTTAAAAATAATTTATTACCAATCTACTTGAAGGAATAATATGTTTCCTATATCTTAATACTCACTGTACAGGCAGCAATCATTAAGCACTAAAATCCACATTTGTTAATACAGATATCAAAAACTAAATTGCTATGCAGTCAAATTGGTCAATTTAACGTTTCTGTTTAAATGACCTATCATAAATTACAAATGTACTTAATTAAAGTTTTGATTTTCCAGAAATCAAAATCATTTTTTTGTGTAATAGAAGAAAATGGGTGAATAGTATTCCCTTCTGCATTTTCCCAAATCTTAAATCCCATAAACGCCGCATCGGACCAATAAATGCAATATTAAATAAATAAATACCCAATCTCTCACAATTGACAAGACATTCAAAATCCAATTAATTTTGATGACTTCTTATCTGCTGCACGTAATCTTTATGATGAAATCGAGCCCGCAATGCTCGGCAATTACCCGTTGGATCTCTTGGAAGACCTTCATGTCCGGGGGCCATTCGCGATTTGATCGGATAATGTCCGGCTTAATTGCACGGAACTCGGCAAAGCAGCGCGTAATGAGGGGGACTCATCGCATTTGTGCTGCGGATTATTGCAACCCTCAGGGGCAACCCCAAGATTCCACTTTGCATGGGGTTGAAATGGGGTCTGCTAACTGCAAAACCCTACATATGGCGCTTTATTTTGCTTACGCATCGATTAGCATCTAGCTTCAATAAACTCCCCCACATTTGGGGAACTCCCTGGAGTGTCCACTGCTGACCCATGCCGGAATAAATACTTCTAACCAATTCAGCTTACTCGGAAACGGGCAGCACTTAAAAGCCCCGTCAATTGGGGAGATGTGCTTCTCAGTTTTATTTGCCGACGTTTATTGTGAAGGGTTCGGAAAGTCGCCGCCTTTGACAAACGAAAGTCAAAATATTTTTATTAAAATTAAAATGCTTACGCAGACGAAGGCAGCGGGTTGGTTTTGTGGTTCCCATTTTTTCATCATTCGGTTGCAATGGCAACCCTTGGAGCCTTTTGTCTATGTCTGAGTTATGGGAATCCCCGGCTGGCGCACGGCAACCAATGTATGTTTTATATTAATATGCGGCGCAGTCTAGCCGCAAAATTGTAATCCTTTTAAGTGAGGCCGCCAGACACCGCCAAATCATTTAATCTTTTTATTGAATGGCCCTCGGAGTTTTGGGCCATCGAAGGAAAGAGTTTCGCATCTGTTTGGCGGCCATAAATCTAATTTTGAATGGCCTGTGTGTGACTGAGACTTCCATCTCCTCCTTTTGGCGAATGCAAATTGTCATCGGCTTACTGTTGTCATAACAATTCCATTAACGAGGACTGTCTGTCTGATTTGGCATATTTATGAGCTTAGGAAATTGAATTGAATTATTCAGAGCGACAAAAAGGAGGCCTCTAATACACATGTCGATTGTGGAAATGAATTGTATTGGCGAGGGGGGCTTCCTTCTTTCTTGACTCGCAAAATGGCTGCTAAATGTATTTTATGCCCACCGACCGCCAGATCAAATAATGAAAACATTTTGGCGTTTGGCATTTGGCAAATGCCCCAAAACCGCACGAATGCAATGTGTCTGGTCTGGTCGGCGCCCCACGCACCACGGAGCATAATAAATCCGATTCGAATCTGATCTATCCCAACATCAGGGGTTGACATTTAAATTAACACCCACATGCCTCCTGGTGAAGTGGGGCTGCCTCTTGGGGGTTGGATTCAGGACCTGTGCGGCAGGAGTTGGCTTAGTCCTTTCGGTTAGCTGGTGGCAGTTGGTTGGAATCAAAGGCTGTTGCACTGGTTTTGACATTTAGTTTTATTTTTCGCTGTAAATTTTCATCGATACAAATGAAAATGGAAACTTGAGTATAACTATCGTACTATTCAATTTCGTTTAAATTACATAATATTAAACTAGATGCTTGCCTTTAGTTCCCTCTTTGTTTGCTTGCTGCTTTAGCTTTAGCTTTTGTTTCAGTTGTAGTTTTGTTTCCCTCATTTGTCTAGTTGTTTCTCATTTTTACACAAATCAAAAGGAGGATTAGCACTTCAACTAAACACTATAAAGCGGTGCCATCGGCTGGCTCTGTGGAAGGGTAGTATATATAGGAGATATAGGGCCGACAGAGGGTCGAACACGACAGAAATGCAACGATAATACGGCGAAAGTACGTACAGAGTGACTAAACCGAACCGCGTGAGCTGGCAAATTAAATTAGACTTCACTAGAAACTGTTTGTTTTACAGTGTGAGAGTGTGTGTTTATTTCTCCATTTGTGTGTGTCTTTTCCATGTGTGTGTGGTGTGTGTGTGTGTGGGAGAGTGCGTGTGTGTGTAGTTTGAGGGAGATGTCGGCTGCCTCGGCGAAGAACAACATGTTTGAAATGTACGTTGGCTTGGACATTTGGTTGTTTGTGTTTTGCAACCGCTGGCTTTTGGAATTGGATTAAGTTTTTATTTAGAGTTGCAGTATTTGCTTTCGGATGCGGCATCTGAGTATGCCCGCTTACTCCTTGCGCGCCTGACGCTTGCGTGTTTTTGTGTTGGATTCCTGAAAAGGATGAGGTTGAAGATTAGTCTTGGTGGTCACTAGCGAACCCCTCTGCGAACGCACCTCAGTCTGTGCGGGCTCTTGATTCTCCGCCGCCTTGGTCTCCTCTTCGTTATCATCTAAATCAGACTTTTGGTTCTTCTTGGGACTAGCGGACAGCGGTGTGCTCTCCTTGCTGGAATCGCCAGCGGCCCTTTCGTCGCTCTCCTCCTCCTCCTCGGCCTCGGGCTCATCGTCGGGCTGAGGATCGTCGGTCTTCTTGGCCTCGGCAGCGGCCTTCTTGGCAGCAGAGTCCTAACATCAAAGGCCGAATTAGTAAATTCCCCAAGTACAACTTAAGTGAAAGCTCAAGCATCGTTACCTGACTCTTAGCGGTACCAAATCTACAGTAGATGGTAAGCGCAACCAGCGCCACAATGGCCACCAGGCCAACGCCCCAGATCGCGGGATTGGCATTGGCTAGCTCGACTACCTTATTCACGAATGAGTCCTATGAAATGAGAAAGCCAAAGAGTAGCAGTAGCAGTAACAGGTGCAGGGTGCAGGCCAAAATGAGAGTGTTCATGTGGGTGTATTGTACGAATTTCTAATTTCAAATTTAAAGCGAAACAAGTCAAGACCGGGGCCAACCTCCTTGGCGCGTCGGTACAGATAGAAGACGTAGCAACTGGCCGGAATGAGCAGGTACAGGAAGTACAGGGCCCACCAGCCGGGCTTGTAGTTCATGCGGCGCATCAGGCGGTGCCAGAAGGTTTTCTTCGAATTGGATAGAGTAGTGGCTCTCGATTACGATTCCCTGTGTATTTTTGTGAAGGGGACAAGGAAGAGGTTAAGGGCTTGAACTTACCGATTCACGGTCAATGTAGCGACGCTTGATATCGAAGCTGTTGGCAGCAAAGTCACGGGCGACATCCACATCGTCCGTGATGATCAGATTGTCGAAGAGAATGTCGCTTGACATGGACCACAGCTCCAGACCCACGGCGCTCTAAATAGAGTTAGTGTGGGTATAGTAAAGTGGACGATGAAAGCCATGCAAATGCCACTTACGATTGGCGTCATTTGGAAGGGCTTCAGATCCTCAAAGAAGTTTGGATTGACAATCTTCCTGGGGGCCCACTTGCCCTGGTAGTTGGGGTTATCGATCATTGGTGCACGCCACTTGCCCTTGTAGTTGGGATTGGGGATGAGCGGAGCCTTCCACTTGCCACAGCCGGGTGCCTTCTCGCAGACTGGATTGTCCACCAATGGAGCCTCCCATTCGCCATCGATTTCGGCATCCCAATCTTCAGGTTTGGTGGCAGTCGGATCGAAAATCATGTCGGGCTCATCCTCAAGCCAGCCATTGGGCATGACGGCATCGGTATCGGGCAACTGTGGTGGAGCATCCTCGTCCCAATCCTCGGGCTTGTGGGCAGTGGGGTCTGGGATCTTCTCCCGCTCATCCCACGACTCTGGCTTGTGGTCATTGGGGTCGTTGATCTCTGCCGGCGGGTTGACTGGTGGCTTGAAGTCGGTCAGCAGGGAACCCTCGTTGATGATCTTGTGGTCAACGCGAATCTCAAAGCTGTTATCGGGACGGACCACCAGCTGGTAGAGATGGGGTAGCTTGTCCTTGAATGGCTCTTCCAAACGGTTCCTGAAAGCAAGGAATCCAAGAAAATTAATCATCGATGGTGTTATAAATACACGGTTTATCTGCCTCTCCAAAAAGTCAGCTCATCGATGGGGGCAATAGTCCACCTCGGTGACGATGAGCCAAACGGGTGACAAAGGTCTAAATTGCAGCTAATGTACAAGCGAACAAAGGTGATTCCGGAGATAACACGTAAGCGCAATGCCGAAAACCAATTTTGTTTCTATATAAGGCAGGGAAGCTTCTAAGCAAGATGGTTAGAGTGGTGATTCTATTGATAGCGATAACGCTTGAGTGAGCTGCTGATTTGCCATCTCCCGAAGAGTTGTGTTCATTTAATGGACTCACTTCGGCTTGTTGCAGTGCTTCTCGGTGATGGTGCCATTAATTGGATTGACGTGCCGGAATATGAAGTGCATTTTCACATCGTTGCCGCACTTGTCCGGTCCAAACATGATGGTATAGGGTGTCTTGTCATTGAACTACGAATAAACAGAGTCGGATTCGGGGGTTGTTTACGATTTGTGTTCGTTGGGGTTCAGGCGACTGTGATCTATGAGGGCATTGCCTCCCGCACTTACGCTTTTTAGTTGCTCCGTGTCTTTTCCGGCTGACAAAAGCTTCAGATACGAGCCGCCGCACTCCTGACCCTCCTACAAAAAACGAGAATAAGCCGGTGGAGAACGAGAATTGGGTCAGTAAGCGGGTATTAATTGGATTTGCCCGGCGGCTGATGCAATCCCGAAGCGTTTCACTAGGTGACGAACCTGCAACGTGACCTCGTACTGCACCACCAGCGGCTTGTCCGACTTGAACTCGAACGGCCGGCGGAGGGGGGCTGCTATGGCCGCATGCTTGGCCTTCGACTTGAGCACTAGACCCAGGTCGTTCGCCCAAACGATGCGCTGCGGCGACTCCCAGTTCCAGATGCCATCGTACTTGGAGATCTCCTCGGCGATGTCGTCCTTCTTGGCCTGCGACAGCACCCACTTCTTCCTGGACTCCTCCACGTCGTCGAAGTGGTCCGCGAAGTGGAACTTCTTGGCATCGATCACCGGGCTCTCGTAGGCCAACTTCTCATCGACGTCGACGGCGGTGGGCTCCTCCTGCAAGGCATATGTTGAAACGTTAGATAAGGTGTCATAAAATCCGAAGCACGCGGTCGTCAGTGGGGAAAGTGATAGAGAGAGAGAAAAATGGGTGGCGCTACACCAGGTGGCATTGCCATAGCCACCAGACTGGTTGTGGATATTTAATAATATGCTCTGTAGCTTCAAGAGCACTAAATTGCTATTAGCTTGACCTCATCTGTAGCTGTTACTACCCTAGAGGACTGTCCCAATTTCTGTGGAGCAACAGATTAGTGCATTCTTGGGGCTGCCATGGGAGTTGCTATCTGCGTGACCTCGTCTGTGGGTAAACAGTTGTATTTCCCTCGCATTCGGATTTGTAGCTGGAAAAGTGAGACACGCTCGCATGCTAATTGTGGGTCACAAAGCGAAGAAGCCGGCCGCACCGCCCCCCAGCCCCCGCAGCAACCCCTTCCCCGCCATCGCAACAAGCGCGTTTCTCCTTTTTGTTCTAGTACCTTCCACTGACGTGTACTTTTTGTCTCGTTTTTTATCTGGAGACTGGCATCGCCGCGACCTACTCACCTGCACATCTTCCACATAGCCGTCCTCGAAGTCGTCCGACTCCGAATCCGGGCCCAAATCGGCGGCTTTGGCCGCACTCAGCAGCAGCAAACTGCTGGCCAAGAGCAACGCCAGCGTTGCGGCCCGGTTTCCTCCCATTTTCCACGCCATTTTCACCCACTTTTCGCTCGCTCGCTGACTGGTTGGGATTTTGTGTCCGCGGAAAACCAGGTGGTGGATTGTGTTGTGCGCGCACTGCTTCTTAACAGTTTTCCCCGACTGCGAACTGTTGCGGAATAACGAGAATCGAGATCTGGCACGACGAACTATTTGTAATTAAATTAATGTAAATTATACATTTTCTCTGCTGCGCTGCCTACTTTGTTCTGTGCTTCCTCTTCCCCTGCTTTGGTATGCTACCGCCTAGCGCGACTGGTCACACTGTCGCGTTGCGTTGTACCCTACCGTAGGGTATTATGGTTCTTAAGCATACACTTCGCTGTTAACCTGAAAATTACAATGTTTAGCTACAAGTGTTTTGAAAGGAGTACATTTTAAACAAGCATAGACCATAATTCATTTGATTTTTAGAGAAGGTGCTTTATAAAATGAGAGGCGAAACATGTTAGCTATATTGATTTACATACTTACTTCATTTTTAATAACTATTTTTACTTTTGATACCTGACGGATATCGATATGCCTCACTCCAATCGTCACGCATGGTTTGGAACTCCGATAGGTTTGTAGCAGAGACTCAGCCCCCGACGGCGATTGAATGTTGCATACTTTTGAATGCTAAGCATAATTAATCTTTTTTTTTCAAGATTTTGTAATTACTTAAACGTAATTGATGAAAATATATATAGAATAAAATATATAAGCAATACAATGTAATAAATAAAGAATAAATGGTTATGAAGGAAAATAAGCTGTTTGTTTTCATAAGAGACTTATAAAATCGCAAAAATCACCAAAAATATTGGTTTTTCGGTCCAATCTCGAGCAATATTTGGCAAAATATGGATTGCCATACCTTGTTGGACTCGTAATTAAGTTCCCTTTCCACCCAAACTCAAATTTAGGAAAAAAAAATTTGAGCCCATTTTTGCAAAAAATGATGATGGTACCCCTTACAAAAAACTCAAAAAATTGTCAAAATTTGGACTTTAAAAAATCGGTCAAAAAATGATTTGCCTAGTTAGTTTAGGTCAAGAGCTGCATAAAAAAGTATTTTTTTATAGCTTTGAGACCTTTTTAAGTCAAGTTATGACGAAAAATGTCTCAGAAAAAGCGTATTTACCGAAATAATGCAAGGAGAGGTACCAGAATTGAATTTAAGCTCCAAAGAACTCGCACGGAAAATGGCAAACTATTTTTAGCCTTAATATGTTAATTATGTCAGTTTTTAAGCGAAATATGAAACTAAATAGGGAGAAATTTGATTAAAGCGAAATTGGGAGTATCTAGCACACGTATTGTGTTGTTTTTCCTCGCTGCCCATATGGAAATTAATATTTGTGCGATGTGCGATTTCCACTGAATTATTGGCATACATTTATTTTCCAACAGACATGTCTGAATCAAACACTTCGTGGATGAAAGTAGTCTTGCATGTTGCAATTATTTTAAAAGCCCGGCGGCTCAATTAATGCTCCACAACGGGAATGGCTAAGCCCCCAATAAACTTGATGGCTGGCAAGAGCCACGCGTTGGCTTGTAAAATAAAGTGGCGTTCATTTGAGCATAAAATTATAATAAAAACTCCTGGCTTATTGGGCTTCATTTGTGGGTGGTCTTCATTTGATGTCACGCCTTTCTTATGCTGAGAAAATAGGTGTGCATATTCGAGAAAATAACTTAAAAGTTATTACAAATTAGAAGCAGTGAAGATAGGTGTATTTCTACATTTTCCACACAATGCAACAGGTGCGGGTTGTAATAACTAAGATAAACAGATTTCTTTCAGTGCACATCCTTTAACTGTGGCAACTTATTTGCGGCACGCGCAATTCTGCTGCCGCTTCTATTGCTGCCACTGACAGTTTTTTTTCGTTATTTTTTTTGTTTGCAACTGCATACAAAAAGCTTTCTGTTTAATGGAATATTTAACACAATTTAAAAAGTTTTTTTCTAAAGACAAACAAAGACTCGGAAGCACACATGTGGGAGGGTGGGTGTTGCACATACATGGTGGGGGTACTCAGAAGGAGAGGTAACTTTTGTTGGAGCCTCCGGAGTGCAGAAAACTAAACACGTACACACAGACATTTCTTTTTTATGGAAATTGTGTAATGACAGTTAATGAGGGTACTACATAAACAGACACAAGCACACCTCCAACACACACACACCCCACCTGAGCATAAGCACCCAGTGTTGTCAAGTGTTCTATTAACAACGAGGCCAGCTTACCAACACTTGAGCCGGATTCCAGCACGACGATGAAGTTTCACTGTACAGTGAATGTGAGGAACTGAAGCAACTAGTTTTCACTTTTTAAATACTCGTGAGAATGTAATATTTTAAGCTACTTAACATTTAAACTGAACTCCAAAGTTACAACTGAACATTATTCGAGTTCCCCGACTATCAGGTATTCGTTACTCAGCTAGTGGAAGTGCAAACGAGAAATTTCAAAATATTCTGAAATATCGGTGGGGAAAAAGTTGAAAAAAAAATAATAAAATGAAAAATAAATAATTGAATGCAGATTTTTAGAGAATTGCTCCAGAAACATTTAGAGGTATGCCACTTTAAAATCCGATTAAGATAAGCTGAGTTATGGACTTTAGAACTTCAGTCTTGGAACATTTTTGAGTTTCTACAACATCATAGCAACAGAAAAATTACAAAAAAATGTAGAAAAAATAAATTTCCAAATTTGAATGCAGATTTTTAGAGAATTGCTCCAGAAACATTTAGATGTATGCCACTTTAAAATCCGATAAAGATAAGCTGAGTTATGGACTTCAGAATTTCAGTCATGGGGCATTTTTGAGTTTCTACAACATCATAACAACAGAAAAATTACAAAAAAATTTGAGAAAAATATAACACAAACATTTAGAGGTATGCCACTTTAAAATCCGATAAAGATAGGCTGAGTTATGGACTTTAGAACTTCAGTCTTGGAACATTTTTGAGTTTCTACAACATCATAACAACAGAAAAATGACAAAAAAATTTTGAAAAAATAAATTTCCAAATTTGAATGCAGATTTTTAGAGAATTGCTCCAGAAACATTTAGAGGTATGCCACTTTAAAATCCGATAAGGATAGGCTGAGTTATGGACTTTAGAATTTCAGTCATGGGGCATTTTGGAGTTTCTACAACATCATAACAACAGAAAAATGACAAAAAAATGTAGAAAAAATAAATTTCCAAATTTGAATGCAGATTTTTAGAGAATTGCTCCACAAACATTTAGAGGTATGCCACTTTAAAATCCGATAAAGATAGGCTGAGTTATGGACTTTAGAATTTCAGTCATGGGGCATTTTTGAGTTTCTACAACATCATAACAACAGAAAAATGACAAAAAAATGTAGAAAAAATAAATTTCCAAATTTGAATGCAGATTTTTAGAGAATTGCTCCACAAACATTTAGAGGTATGCCACTTTAAAATCCGATAAAGATAGGCTGAGTTATGGACTTTAGAATTTCAGTCATGGGGCATTTTTGAGTTTCTACAACATCATAACAACAGAAAAATGACAAAAAAATTTGGAAAAAATAAATTTCCAAATTTGAATGCAGATTTTTAGAGAATTGCTCCACAAACATTTAGAGGTATGCAACTTTAAAATCCGATAAGGATAGGCTGAGTTATGGACTTTAGAATTTCAGTCATGGGGCATTTCTTGAGTTTCTACAACATCATAACAACAGAAAAATGACAAAAAAATGTAGAAAAAATAAATTTCCAAATTTGAATGCAGATTTTTAGAGAATTGCTCCACAAACATTTAGAGGTATGCCACTTTAAAATCCGATAAAGATAGGCTGAGTTATGGACTTTAGAATTTCAGTCATGGGGCATTTTTGAGTTTCTACAACATCATAACAACAGAAAAATGACAAAAAAATGTAGAAAAAATAAATTTCCAAATTTGAATGCAGATTTTTAGAGAATTGCTCCACAAACATTTAGAGGTATGCCACTTTAAAATCCGATAAAGATAGGCTGAGTTATGGACTTTAGAATTTCAGTCATGGGGCATTTTTGAGTTTCTACAACATCATAACAACAGAAAAATGACAAAAAAAATGTAGAAAAAATAAATTTCCAAATTTGAATGCAGATTTTTAGAGAATTGCTCCCCAAACATTTAGAGGTATGCCACTTTAAAATCCGATAAAGATAAGCTGAGTTATGGACTTCAGAATTTCAGTCATGGGGCATTTTTGAGTTTCTACAACATCATAACAACAGAAAAATGACAAAAAAATTTGGGAAAAATAAATTTCCAAATTTGAATGCAGATTTTTAGAGAATTGCTCCAGAAACATTTAGAGGTATGCCACTTTAAAATCCGATAAAGATAGGCTGAGTTATGGACTTTAGAATTTCAGTCATGGGGCATTTTTGAGTTTCTACAACATCATAACAACAGAAAAATGACAAAAAAATTTTGAAAAAATAAATTTCCAAATTTGAATGCAGATTTTTAGAGAATTGCTCCACAAACATTTAGAGGTATGCCACTTTAAAATCCGATAAAGATAAGCTGAGTTATGGACTTCAGAATTTCAGTCATGGGGCATTTTTGAGTTTCTACAACATCATAACAGAAAAATGACAACAAAATTTGGAAAAAATAAATTTCCAAATTTGAATGCAGATTTTTAGAGAATTGCTCCAGAAACATTTAGAGGTATGCCACTTTAAAATCCGATAAGGATAGGCTGAGTTATGGACTTTAGAATTTCAGTCATGGGGCATTTTTGAGTTTCTACATCATAACAACAGAAAAATGACAAAAAAATTTTGAAAAAATAAATTTCCAAATTTGAATGCAGATTTTTAGAGAATTGCTCCACAAACATTTAGAGGTATGCCACTTTAAAATCCGATAAAGATAGGCTGAGTTATGGACTTTAGAATTTCAGTCATGGGGCATTTTGGAGTTTCTACAACATCATAACAACAGAAAAATGACAAAAAAATGTAGAAAAAATAAATTTCCAAATTTGAATGCAGATTTTTAGAGAATTGCTCCACAAACATTTAGAGGTATGCCACTTTAAAATCCGATAAAGATAAGTGGAGTTATGGACTTTATAATTTCAGTCTTGGGGCATTTTTGAGTTTCTACAACATCATAACAACAGAAAAGTGACAAAAAAATGTAGAAAAAATAAATTTTCAAATTTGAATGCAGATTTTTAGAGAATTGCTCCACAAACATTTGGAGGTATGCCACTTTAAAATCCGATAAAG